CAAGTATGGCCCAATGTAGCTCCACAGCTGTCTTAAGATTCTTCCATTCAAAGTGGGCACATTTTTATTCCTGTAGCTTGCAAGCTTTTCTTTGCTAGAGTAATCTCTCGGCTTCTTTATAGTGTTCCAATTTGCATTTTTATAAAGTTTAATATCCTGGAAACTACCTAGTCCAAGTTTATAAGAGCACACAGCTCCAACTGGCATCAAGAATGTTGTTTTATGGTTAGAGACAGGTTTGGTTTCTGTGAGTACCAGAGCCTGGTTTTATCACTTTCATTTCTGGTTGAAATTGATTTTTCTCCTGTGGGATTTGTCTCTCCTGGTTTCGGGAGAATGTTTTAAATCAACCTGGATAACAAAGGCTAATGGCAAAACTCCAGTCCTTAGGACATTCAAATCTATTGGGACTTGAAAATGCCTGGAGTTATCTTATACAACATCTCCGGGATTTTGATTTTCAAATGAGTTTAAGCCTAATATCCTACAGTTATGGATTCTTATCAAATGGTCAGGTTATCTTTTATCATCTTATCTCTCTTCAGTTTTGATTCTGAATTTTTTTTTGAAGCTTTCACCTTGGCCAAGTTGGATGTACCATCCTCTGCAGTTCTGAGGGAGGTGATATAAAAAAATATCCCTTTTCAGTAGTGCTTATGCCCATGGGGAAATGGCTCTGCGAAATCCCTAAGCGATCTGCTCCTTTATTGCTCTCTCTATAAAGAATCCAGGAAGATATGTATTTATCCCATTTTAAAGAACTACCCTGGTAGAGAGGACAATACCTATCTGTCATTGTTTCTCTCTGCCCAGGACTCTGATGTAACTTTCCAGATTGCCTGATTTTGTTTGTTGTATCCATCCTACTAAAGTTAAAGTTTAGCACAAATTTTGGAGATCACCACTGCTTTAAAAAAAAAAAAACTACAGTCACAATAATAATATGTATATTTGTAATTTTATTAGATTCTTAAATGTTTTGTTAATATTTGCAAGTCTACGTATTTGGTTGTTGTACTTTCTGGTCCAAAGGCTGTAATAAAATTTTGATTTTATACTTATTTCAGTCTTTCCCAACCTGGATATTTCTGGATATTTTAGTCTCTCAACGGTAATAGCAAACCTAGCCAAAGATCAGGGAATCAGATTTATAAACTGAAGTAGGGACTTCTCCTGAATCCAGGTGAACCCATAATAGCCCATCTGTGGGTTTCTTTTCTTTTTCACTTTCCTCTTTAGAGTGGCCAACCATGAATTCCAAGTTTGCTGTCTCCTATACTAAGGGAAAGTTACACTTTGGCCTGGGTCCAGCCAACAGAATTAGAAGCTCAAGTCAATTCTTAAAGTATGGTCAAAGCATTCCCTCTTCCAACTTTTCCCCACAATAACACTGTAAAATTGGTTGGGCTGAGAAAGGGAGTGACTGACCCAGAGTCATCCAGTGAATTAGCTGAGAGTGAATATAGATTCACTCTCTGAATCTTCCAAGGATTAATTGGCAGAACCTTGACTGCTACACCATGCTGGCTCTCCACAGTGAGAGAATGGGTGCCAGGCTAAAGTATTCAGGCACTACTGAATGCCCTAAATTGGGGTGAGGTAGCAACAAGGCAATAAATGCAATTTTCTCTGTATCTGCATGTTTCATTGAAAGTCAGTTATCTCTGGCATTGCATCTCATTGTATCAGCCTGGTTCCCTTGCTGCTTCTGACTAGCTTGTCAACAGTTTTTTGGCTGGCCAACCACAACCCTGGCATAATCCCAGTGATCAGAAACAGCAATGATCATTTTGCTACATCTTGCCCAAAGAATCCATGCTCCCCCCCAAAAAAAGATCTTGGACTTTTAAAAAAATTGAATCTCAAAATACATCAATTCATACTGGTTTGCTGTCATATTGAATCTCTAGACTGCATTTGTCAAGAATTTTGACAGCTGATTAAAACCCGAGATGATTCATTTTCCTCCAAAGATTCTTGCAGAACTCTCTTTAGCGGGATTTGTGGAGATTGCAAGGAGTTACAATTGTTGAAGTATTTCAACAATTAAATTGTGTTCCATTTAGGTCCATTATAACCCCATAGATATTAGGGCAAAGAATTTTGGTTTTTCTTTCTAATAGCTTTCCTATGATTTGGCAAGGTTGCAAATCTCTTTACTGATAATGGGGAAGCTTGCAGTTGATTGTCCCAAAGATGCTTTTTCAAAAGGCAACTGGACTTTCTTCGTTTTTGCTTGAAGACATTTCACTTCTCATCCAAGAACGTCCTCAGAACTGAAGAAGCTTCTTGGATGAAAAGTGAGACATCTTCATAAACATTTGCAATTGGTTGTTTACATCATAGTCTCTAGGACCTTCATTAGTCTGGAAACTAACACTTGCATCTATCTTCTTCCAATCTTGAATCGATAATTCAACATGCTAAGGCCTACTATGGTTTGTTCTGCTTTGCTACCAAGGTTCAACAATATATTCTCAAACCACATCACCAACTTTTTTTAGGGTTGTGCCAATCTTCATAGGTTTGCTTTGCTTTTCAGGGTGGTTACCCAACTTGGAAACCCCTTGGAGTACACCAAACATCTTCCAGGTTGTTTGGCTGTGTGTGTGTATTGTAATATTTATTGTGCACTAAGCCGTCCAACCTCCAAGTGTTTCAGACAGTACTGGGGAGAAGTTGCAAGAGCTTTGACAATGAGAATCATGTTGTTTCCACAGCATGAATCTTTTTATTGAAGCAAATCTAAGTCACCCACCTAGGACTGTTACTTACATCTCTGGGAAGTAATGAAAAATATTTTTTTAAAAGCACCCTCTCTTAACTTGGCTTTTCTCCCCTTGTTGGACTCCCTGTGGAAAAATAGGAGGATAGCCAAATATTCCATAGCTGTGAATAGCATATTCTATAAATAGTTATAGAAATGGAGTCCTTAAAAGGAAATGCAGCTAATTATATTTCAAGAATTGGAAGGTCTGCTATAAATTTCAATTCTAACTGTGCTAGAAATGAAGCACTATTTCTGGCGAGCATCAGTTTCACGCATATTCATTCAGAATTCAGATTTGTCATGCTTTTATATTAATGGCCAATTTTTTAAAATGCATGAAATTAAGTGTTTAAAATCTTGAATATACTCTTTCATATAATATCTCTGAACTTTAACAATCTCTAATTTATGTTTATTTTATATTTTAGTGAAAGACAGGTTTAGCTTTAGTTCCCATCTTGCTTTTTAGCTCCCTGAGTAGGAATTAAGAATTTTGCCATTTAATAATGTTAATTCCAGGTTAGGGAACTAAATTGCTATGTATTTAAAAAGTAAATGCAATGTGATGAATATGGGATATGTTTTAAACAGATTGATTGATTGATTGATTATTTGCCATCAAATCAGTATTGACTCTTAACAGTTATATAGACAGACTTTCTCCAGAATGATCTGTAATCAACTACATTAAAAGGATTAGAAACAAGATCATGTGAAGTGTTAGTACCACTTGATAATGCTTTGGTAAGAGCACACTTGGAATATTGCATCTAGTTTTGGTCGCCACAATATAAAAAAGATGATGACACTCTTGAATGCATGCAGAGAAGAGCAATAAAGATGATTAGGGTACTGGAGGCTAAAACATATGAAGAACGGTTGCAGGAACTGGGTATGTCTAAATTTAATGAAAAGAAGGACTAGAGGTGGCATGATAGCAGTGTTCCAATATCTCAGAGGTTGCCCCAAAGAACAGAAGGTCAACCTATTCTCCAAAGCACCTGAAGGCAGGACAAGAAGCAATGGATGGAAACTAACCAAGGAGAGAACCAACCTAGAACTAAGGAGAAATTTCCTGACAGTTAGAACAATTAATCAGCGGAACGACTTCAGATGTAGGTGCTCCAACATTGGAGGTTTTTAAGAAGAGATTGGTCAATCATTTGCCTGAAATGATTTTATTTATTTATTTATTTATTTATTTATTTATTTATTTATTTATTTATTTATTTATTTTTATATGCCGCCCTTCTCCAGAGACTCAGGGTGCCTTACAATGCGTTAAGCAATAGCCTTCATACTTTTGTATATTTTATACAAAGTCAGCTTATTGCCCCCACAAACCGGGTCCTCATTTTACCCACCTTAGAAAGAATGGAAGGCTGAGTCGACCTTGAGCCTGGTGAGAATTGAACTCGCAGTAATTGCAGGCAGCTGGATGTTAAATGCTGCCTTAGTAGGAGGCATTAGCCTCCTACGCCACTCAGGCGTAGGGTTTCTTGCTTGAGCAGGGGGTTGGACTTGCTTGAGCAGGCGGTTGGACACTAAAGTCCCTTCCAATTCTGTTATTCTGGTCTTTCTTTCTTTCTTAGCCCTAACACATTTCCTCTTTCAACTGTTGTGATGCTCCCACAAAGCAAAGCATTGTGCCAACCTCACTCATAAACCTCTGATGGATATGGTGTGCCTCCTTCAAAATATTTATTGCCTCATTTTTTCCATCAGTCACAACATAAGTGAATTCTACATAGGCATACTCTATATAGGGAACTGAATATTTGGCTCTTTAAAAAAGACTTTTGTCATATTGTCTCTTGGTTATCTTTCAGATGCATTTCTTCAACCATAATTTGCCACATCAATATGCTGCAACCAAAATTTACTCTCTCTTTCATGGGAAAAAAAGATGCTTAAAATATAACCTTGATTGCAGTTCTCAAAAGCACAACAAATATCCTTACTTTATGAATTTTATTAAACCGTAGTAGCTTGGGTTTAGATGTTTTTATTAAAGGGAAATTGAAAAAGGGAAATCTATTATGTTGCTTCCTACTTTATATAATGTTTGGATTATATAGTTTTCTGCAACCTGGTGTGCTCTAATGGCCATAATGACTGGGAATTCTGCAGGAATGCCTGGTTGTGGAAGGCTGGTAATAGATAATTCTGAAGATTATCATGGACTCTAAATGCCTGGATTGAGTGTCTGCATGTATCTCTTCCTAAACAGCAAGCAGAAAGTCTGGTGAGCCTTTAATTATCTCTGATATCAAGAAGGGGAGTGTAGCACATAGGTGAGTGAATTACCTGTTTTCTTTTATTTCTGAATCTTAATAAACAATAGTAATGAATTTGTTCAAAAGATCTGTAATACTTCTCTATGACCTCAACCATCTTTCATACTTGTTCAGACTAATACTATACCAAAATCTGCCTTGGAAATGTTCTTCCCTTTAGAAAGAAGCATCTGTTTTTCTACCTTCTTCTCAAGGTGTCTGGGAATTTCTTTTAAATTCCTCTTCATAATGTTTGAGTTTCCTTTCTTGTTGAAGATGCTCCAAAGTGATAGAGTTGATGTTTCACTTTCACTTTGCAAAATTCTAAAGCAGCATTTCAGTATTGCTGGATGAGGAATTCTGGGAGTTGAAGTCCAGCCATCTGAAAGTTGCTGAGATTAAGAAAGTCTGGGTTTAAAGCCTTTTGGTTGCCTGCCCTTCCCAATCTGAAGAACCCTAAAAGAAAGAGTCTTGCATTAATGTCTTCCTTTGGAACTTCATCTCAAGCATGAAGAGGAAAGAGAAATGAGAATTCTCAAGAGGTTGATTGAGAACAATCAACCCATGGAACAGAAGTTGCCTTCAGAAGTTGTGGGAGCTTCATCACTGGAAGCTTTCAAGGAAGCGATTGGACTGCCATTTGTCAGAAATGGTGTAAGGTCTCCTGCTTGGGTGGAGGGTTGGACTAGATGACCTACAACGTTCCTTCCAACTCTGTTAATCTGGAGAAATGTTTGTGCAATGGAAGGCAATATAGCAGGATCCAATCTGGATCGATCACTGGAGTTTTGGCTTCCAAACTTTCGGACTAGCTAGAGAGAAGTTCCCTGAAAATAGGTTCCAGCATGACTCCTAAAGCTCAGAAGACAAAACCTCTGCTCCTGGTGAACGACCCAGATTGGATCTTGCAACGTTCTCCTGGGACATGTATATTTGCCTTCATTTGGAAGACAATATAATTACATCTACACCTCTTGGCCTCTTTGTAGTTAAATTCAGTGCAAGGAGACTAGGAGAATTCTTCTGAGATTCTCTCTCTCTCTCTTTTTTTAAAAAAAAACATTTTCTAAAGCAATTTTTTCCTCATTGAAAGACAGCTACAAAAAAAAATGGATGATTTTGTTTGCCCAACACTTATTTCATCATATCATCAACACTGTTAACACTTGAAAAGAACAAATGTTAACACTATTTAGAATGTTTTCTAAAAGATTTGTTTTCTCTTTGTATGCAGGACTGGCACCTTGGAGCCTGGAGACAAGCTGTTAGCTATTGATAATATCCGACTTGACAATTGCTCAATGGAAGATGCAGTGCAGATTTTAAAACAGTGTGAAGAACTTGTCAAATTGAAGATCAGGAAGGATGAGGATAACTCTGGTACAAAAACTCTGAATTAATCTGTTGACAAAAAAAAAAGTCCTTTCGAAGACTAATGAGGTTGACAGATTGTGAATCAATATTGTTAATTAATATGCTTGCATATTCACACGCTTCCTATATACAAACAGGCCCTTTCAAAAAGATTCGGAGGGCTGCAAGTTTCTTTGTGATTGACTGGAACTTCTTCTGAGCTTGGCCTTTCTATGACTTCTGTCATCATTATTCAGCCTTTATTTGCCTTCATTCGTGATTATTCAGCTTCTTTGTTCCTTTTAACAGATGAGCAAGAAACCACTGGGGCTATCATCTACACAGTGGAATTGAAGAGATATGGTGGGCCCCTGGGAATCACTATTTCAGGCACAGAAGAACCTTTTGACCCCATTGTCATTTCAGGCTTGACAAAACGAGGGCTGGCAGAAAGGTGAGTTGCAATTTGCAACCTTAGAGTCAGAGGCCTGGAGTGTCACTGCAGGCTTCAGCTTCCAAAGAAGCTGATATTATTATCAGCTAATAACTCTGTTATTATTATCAGTTAATAACTCTGTTATTAACAGAATAACAGAGTTGGAAGGGACCTTGGAGGTCTTTCTAGTCCAGGGGTCTGCAACCTTAAACACTCAAAGAGCCATTTGGACCCGTTTCCCAAAGAAAAGAAGCCACAAAACCCTTCCCATGCCTGACTATTTCTTGAGCAGCGACAAAACTAGCATATGTAGTTGAATTAAATGTTCTGTTTTCTTCTGAAACTTTTCTTTTCTTGGATTTATCTACGGTTGGCCTACTGTTGGAAGAAACATCCTTCTGGGTTCTGCTCCAAGTGGGGAAAAAGACACTGGAAACATGGAGACTGCTTGGAAAGATGGTTTAATGGTGGACAGGATCACATGGCTTGAGTTCCTGAACAGAAAAGGGGCAGATACAGCGAGTTTTTGGGTTTTATGCTCTCTCTGGCTTTGAACTTCCTGGGGCCCAGAAAGAGTACTCTGACTGGTTGTCAGACTCCCAGGGGGTGGGGGTCCTAGCTAGCCTTGCTGGCTGATGGTCACATGTGCTTCCCAGGCCACATGCTTCCCAGGTCACATGTGGTGAGTTTCTGCTGCTATTGTGTAGAGGGCTAATCCTATCTTTGTTGGATCTTTGGTAATTCCTACTATGGCTCTGCCTGAAGGAGGTAGATCTTTGTTATGTAGAATAGACTGGCCCAGGCCTTAATGGCCCATTGACAAAGGGTGGGGGCAGGAAGATGGGAGCTGCTTCAAAACATGCTTATCCATTTCTCATCCAGGGAAATATAATATTCTGCCTTTTTCATATTTCCTAAAATATTTCATTCTTCCAGGAGAGGGGTGGGTGCTAACTTCCTACACTACCAAGGGTTGAAAAGCTCTATAAATTGCATGCCAGCGGGTGTCGCACATTGGCGGTTGTGACGCATATTTTGAGTGACAGGGAGCCACAGCAGAGGGGTGAAAGAGCCACATGCGGCTCCAGAGCCGTAGGTTGCTGACCCCTGTTCTAGTCCAGCCCCCCCCCCCGCTGAAGCAGGAGACCCTATACCATTCCAGACAAATGGTTGTCCAATCTCTTCTTAAAAGCCTAAAGTGATGGAGCACCCACAACTTCTGAAGACAAGCCGTTAATTGTTCTGACTGTCACGAAATTTCTCCTTATTTCTAGGTTGGTTCTCTCCTGCTTACTTTCCATTGAATGATCTGAAAAACAAGATTGTATGATAGATTTTTCTGAACATTTAGCCTCTTGGATAGCACAGGCGTCCATACTGTGTTGATAATGTTATGGACATTTGTTAGTTTTATGTTGATATGTGCACCAGGGAAGTCAGTTTAAGACACCCTATTTGAAAAGTTCCATTGCTTTACCTTTCTTGTTTGCTACTTTTCCCTAAAAAAAACCCAAAAACCCTTTGTATCCTGGCAGATTGAAAGACAAGATTGGAAAAAGAGAGAAAGGAGATGAAAAATAACCAGTGTCCAAAGATTTATTTAACAGATACTTTGTAATCCTAAACATACCATAACAATAATTAAAAGCCAGATTAATATTCAAACCCACATGAGAAACTTTACCAAAGAAGAAAATACTGTTGTTGTTGTTGTTGTTGTTGTTGTTGTTGTTGTTGTTGTTGCTGCTGTTGCTGTTGCTGTTGCTGTTGTTGTTGTTATTTTTTAACCTTCAAAGATATTCCTCCTAAATTGGCTTGAATTACCTGTTATTTGTTCTGGTGCTCAGGATTAGACCCAAATATAGTCTTATATAGGGAATGGCTCTCCAACATTGAACTCAGTGGAACTTAAGACTTGAGTCTATCTTTATAGCTTGGGAGTTGGAACATCGGCACTGCCATTCTAAAAACAAAACAAAACCCTAAGAAATTGCTTCCATGCACCCTCACATAATTGATTGATTGATTAGTCATGTACCATCAAAATCATTTTCAACTCCTAGGGACCACATAACTTTTTAGTGTGGCCACCTAGGTCACACCAATGTTTCAGATTTGCAAAATAACGTAAGGGGTGGGTGGGGGGATTCAGAGTATGGGGAAATCGGATTTCTTTTTAAATTGGGGTTTTTTTGGGGGGGGGGGTAGTAGTAGTTGATGATGGTAGTTTTGTAGATCTGAGTTTACAGTACAATGTTAAGATTGTTGTAAGGATAACATTACAATGTTAATATGTTCCCTTCCTCCAAGGAAACCTCACTCTAGTTTTCAGCAGTCATGGTTAATTGGGTTCTGAGTTGCAAAAAACAAATGTGGGATGGGACACACTCTTGATCCAGCCGTTAGACTGCTTTACTAGCTGGTCTGCCTAGAGATGGCTTATCATCAAGATGCCATCAAGAGTCCTTCCTCTGTGAGGAAGATGAGCAGTTGAAAAATATGATCATAGATAGAGAGATAGATAGATAGATAGATAGATAGATAGATAGATAGATAGATAGATAGATAGATAGATAGATAGATAGATATAGAGCAGGGGTGTCAAATTCTATTTCATTGAGGGCCGCATCAGGGTTGTGTTTGACCTCAGAGGCGTGGCTAGGGTGGGCATGGCCAGCATGACATCACTCGTGTCAGGGGGTGCCTGTGGTGGCCCAAGCACTCTGCCAGTGAAAACAGGCTCCCAAGCTCCATTTTCTGCTGCAACAGCCTCCTGCAACCCTCTGCCAGTGAAAACGGAGCTTAGGGGGGGGTGGGGCTACCCTCTCAAGCTCTGTTTTCCCTAGCAGAGGCACCACAGGCCGGTTCTTCATTGTTTCCAGGGCAACCCTACGTGTCAGATCTAAGCACCTTGAGTTTGACACCCTTGATATAGAGAGATAGACAGACAGATAGACAGATGAACAAACAGACAGACAGACAGACAAATAGAGACAGACAGACAGACAGACAGACAAGATACACTAGAGCAGTAGTCCCCAACCTTTCCAGGTCCATGGATCAGCAGTGGTGTCAGTGGGGGGGGGGACGGGACGGGACAGAGAGGGGATAGTTTCATGTGCACGTCCGCCGCTTGCACAAATGAAGCTTCATGCGCTCACACACCTGCCCGTGACTTGCACCACCCAGTTCCCAACAGGCTGCAGACCAGTACCAGGCCATGGTTTGGGATTGGGGACCCCTGCACTAAAGGAAACACTGCTCCAAGGTACAGATGTCCCTTGGACACAGATCTACCATTTTTTCCCTCTATAATATATCCTCAGCATACATGTATTCTCATGTAGAAGCTGGGATAGGGGGGACTTATTCTGAGGCACTTGTCTGTAGAGTTATCTGCCTGGTTTCTATACATGTTGGCCAGGCCAGACTTCCACAATTGCTGACAGAAATGACATAAGAAACTGATCAGTAGAATAATAAGGAAATATTCCCATTAACACAGCTAGAAATGTTGCCCTGAAATTCAATCGAGGGACTTAGCCAGAATTCCTAGGATGCTACCAAGCTAATAAATGCTGACCATTGTTCATGGTTTCTAAAGGCTGAATCTCTACCTTGTCTTTTTGACTTTGTTAAGGACCTGATGATTCCAAACTAAGTTAATTCTTGAGTTGCTTCTGTTATCTTTCTAAGCCAACAGTGCCATCTTATGGTGGCCCATTAACAATGTAGTTATTGCAATATTCCCACGGCCCGCACTCCTCCTGTTTATGTCATCCTATAGCCTGGATTTCTTCGGCTTTGAAGCCAAGAAAGTAGTACAGAAGGCATCCAAATTTTAATTTCCCTTCAAAGTCTTGTGACTACTTGAGCTTTTCACTTCAAGTCCACCACCCAGCAAGGATAAAATAAAAGTTTTTTTGAATATACACTGCTCTATTGAATATCTCTGTTTTGCTCTTTGATTGAGCCACAGTGACCTCTATTGTTCAGTTATGAAATTAATATACAGTACTGTATTGTACTAACTCCCCTCTCCCCTCCAAAATCCATTCCAAACCTTTTAACTGCTGGAATATAATACGAATTTGTCCACAGACAGGATTTGGAATATTAATTGCATGTCAGGGTACAAAGGTTTTGTTTTCTGTAGCAAAAAACCATATGGTGTTCTTTTGTTTGTATATGCTTTCAGTAAAAATCATTAGCCATAAAAGACAATGCAGGAGGAAAGACTTAAGCCAATAAAGCAATTTTATTACAGTCTTAGGTCAGCATATATACCTAAAGCCTTGTGTGTTTCATAAATATAGGAAGGAAGATCCTTGGGGTGGAGGTGGGGAATTGATGCAATATACCTAAAAACCATTATTTTTCCATTTCTGACTGAAAGCACATCTAAAGGCAAGTGGAAGGGAATATTTTTTTTTTCTCTTGCTGCTATCCAGTAGAAGCTGTCTAGAAGTGAGTGGAATCTATATTGTAAGAGTTAGTCACTGTCCAACCTATTCCATAGACAAGTGTTTCTCAACCTGAGCAACTTTAAGAGGGGTGGTCTTCCACTCCCACCCCTCAGGTCAAGAAATACTGCCAAATCAAAAAAAAAAAAACTGATTCCAGAGGAAAACTAGAAGACTTTATTGATAAGGGCTCTCATAACAGTTGTTTACAAGCCTGCCTGTGTTTTCCCTCCCCTTCCTTTAATACAGAGGTCTTCAAACTTAGCAGCTTTAAGGCTTGTGGACTTCAACTCCCAGAATTCTCCATCCAGCATAGCTGGCTGAGGAACTCTGGGAGTTGAAGTCCACAAGTCTTAAAGCGACCAAGTTTGAAGACCTCTGCTTTAATATCACAGGAATTAGAGGCAGCCTTTCAGAGTCTTTTAGAGCAGGGGTCTCCAGCCTTGGCAACAAGCCTTAAAGCTGTCAAGTTTGAAGACCTCTGTATTAAAGGAAGGGAAGGGAAAACACAGGGAAAACAGGGGCAGGCTTGTAAACAACTGTTATGATAGCCCTTATCAATAAAGTGTTCGAGTTTTCCCTGGCTGAGGAACTCTTGGAGTTGAAGTCTTAAAGTTGCCAAGGTTGGAGAGCCCAGTTTTAGAGTATTGTTTTGCCTCTCTGGGCCCTAGACATACAGTACTTCTGCACCTGTTATTGCCTTAATGGTTTCTGGATGGCTTCTCCAAGGTCATCATCAGCCCCAGTAGAAAACAAAATCCACATACAATCATAATTGTACTTTATTGAGTTTAGCTATAATAACAGAATCCTGCAAGTCTGATTGTGATGTACCTCCTCCCCTTATACTCCAGTGAAATAGGGTGGTGATTTCCTGAGTCGTTTCTAAATATGATCTGAATGTTGCAAACTTCAAATAGGTCCCTGTTTTTGCCCCCATCTTCAATTGCCTAGACAATGGATCTTGTGTATCTCCATCAAGGCAATCTTCCTTACCTTCTACAGTCACAGTAGCCTTTAGCCCCATCCCAAGCATCCTAAAACTAAGTTTGAAGCCATTTTAAAAATTAAAAATGGCTGAACCATTATGAGATCTTGACATTTCATCTAATTCTAGGCTCTTTCTTAAGATATGACAAATCATCATCATCATTATCATCTCCAGGTTAAGATTTTGACCAATTTCATTTCTGATATGAAATTGCTGGGTTATTCCTTGGTTATTATTTTATTAATGTGAATTTTAAGAATATGTACACAGTAGAATTTCTCTTCCCAGTATAAATCACAGGAACGATGAATGATGAATGGCTGGAAATCTATACATCATTATGGATTTTATTTTCATATTTTTCTTCAGATGTCCATAGTATTCTCTGTCTTATAATTCACGGTAGATGGATGGATTTTTAAATGAAATTGCTGCCATGCGTCACAGCTGAAGTTTTCTTTACTTTTTCCTTAGAACTGGAGCGATCCACATAGGAGATCGAATATTAGCTATTAATAATGTCAGCCTTAAAGGGAAGCCCCTAAGCGAAGCCATTCATCTACTCCAAATGGCTGGAGAGACAGTAACGCTAAAAATCAAAAAGCAAACCGAAAGTAAGTTTTTAATTTTTTTAATTAATTAATTTAAATCAATATCACTCTGAATTACAGGTAGTCCTCGACTTATAACAATTTGTTTATTGACCATTCAAAGTTACAACATCATTGAAAAAAAGTAATTTATGACCATTTTTCACACTTAAAACCATTAAAGCATCCCCATAGTCATGTGATCAAAATTCAGATGCTTGGCAACTGGCTCATATTTACGATGATTGCAGTCTCCCAGGGTCATGTGATCACCTTTTGCGAACTTCTGACAGGAAAAGTCAATGGGGAATTCAGATTCATTTAACAACCAGGTTACTAATTTAACAAGTGCAGTGATTCACTTAACAATTGTGGCAAGAGAGGTCGTAAAATGGGGGAAAATGCACTTAACAAATGTCTCACTTAGTGACAGAAATTGTGGGCTCAATTGTGGTCATACGTTGAGGACTACCTGTATGCCTATCTCTTAAGGATGCAGAGAAAAGATTTTTTTTCTCTGAATTTCACACTTCACACTTTCTCTGAACTTTACACTTCCTTTAAAAGAAAGTGCAATGCAATGTTTTCCTCTCACACAAGTTTTCTTGTCTTTAATTTATTTATTTATTTATTCCATTTCTATAGCCGCCCATCTCAGCCAAGTTACTCTAACTTTGATCCAGCATTTAAAAAGTTGCTGAGAATTGAGTTGTAGAAAAAGTCGGGATTAGGCCTCCTTCTCTGTCAAATCTGATGCTCAAATATCGCCTGTCAGACTCTGTAGAGAGTTTCTTTCTTCTGACTTCATAATGCTGCTCAGGGGTGGGATTCAGCCAGTTCGGACCAGTTCGGGCGAACCGGTAATTGTGGCCCACGGGGGCCCACCCTCCCACCCGTGCCGGCGCTATGCCGTCCTATTTAGCCATGTTTTTTAAACTGTGTGCAAGCCGTGCACCAGACCAAAGAGCATGCGCAGAAAGTTCACATATTCGATCCTGGGCGAACCAGTTGTTAAATTATGTGAAGCCCACATCTGGCTGCGGTATTTGACAAGTGGTTCACCATTGCTGAGAGAAACTGACTGGCCCAAGGTCACCCAGCTAGCTTTGTGCCTAAGACTAGAACTCACAGTCTCCCTTAACGATTACACCAAACTGGGACATGCTTGTTCTCTCTCTGTGTGTGTCTCTCTGCCTCTCTCTGTCTCTCTCCCCCTCCCTCCCTCCCTCCCTCCCTCTTATAGTTTTTATAAATTAGATTTTTTTAAAGACAACAATACAAATTTCACAAAAGAAATAAAGAAAGTAAAATAGTGAATAGATAAGGAAGGAATAGAGAAAAGGAGAAAAGAAAAATATTTATTAAACATGTGGCTTCTGGTCTTTGTATTTGCTCTTAATAGGCAGCAGATCTAAAACGCTATGTCTCTTGAGCATTGCTGGACAGCCCTCCAGAACCCCATTTGCAGCCATGAAGTGGACAACACAAAATCTTGCTGAAGTTTATAGAAATCCATTTCACCTCTTAAAAACTCTCAGACAGCACCTCTTAAAAGTCAGGTGTTCTCTTGCAACTTCAGAAGTATCCCGAATTGGAATTTTCAGTGCCATTTCAGTAGAGTTACCGTAAGCAACTTCATCCATCCTCATAACAAATTTATATTTGTCTTTTTCCCTAGAAAAGATTCTAAGATTAAAAACAAATTGTCCAGATGATGTTAGCTTAAATGTTCAGAAATGCCATCATCAAATGCAAAAATCGTTTGCCTAGAAATAAGTTTCTAGTTGATTTCATTCAATTTTAAGTAAATGTACTTAAACTCATATTGGCAGCAGACATCTGCTTTTAACTCTAGAAAAGTGAATTTAGACTAACAGAGTTGGAAGGGACCTTGGAGGTCTTCTAGTCTAACCCCCTGCTTAGGCAGGAAACCCTACACCACTTCAGACAAATGGTTATCCAACATCTTCTTAAAAACTTCCAGTGTTGGAGCATTTACAACTTCTGGAGGCAAGTTGTTCCACTGAATAATTGTTCTGTCAGGAAATTTCTCCTTAGTTCTAAATTGCTTCTCTCCTTGATTAGTTTCCACCCATTGCTACTTGTTCTTCCCTCAGGTGCTTTGGAGAATAGCTTGACTCCCTCTTCTTTGTGGCAGCCTCTGAGATATTGGAACACTGCTATCATGTCACCCCTAGTCCTTCTTTTCATCAAACTAGACATACCTAGTTCCTCATATGTTCTTCATATATTTTAGCCTCCCGTCCCCTAATCATCTTTGTTGCTCTTCTCTGCACTCTTTCCAGAGTCTCCACATCTTTTCTACATCATGGCAACCAAAACTGGATGCAGTATTCCAAGTATGGCCTTACCAAGGCATTATAAAGTAGTATTAACACTTCACTTCAAGTGCTGTTTGTGCATTTCTTATCAATTGTGGCATACAAGTTGAGGCTAAAAAAGTTAAGAAAAAAGGAAAAGCTCCTTGACCTTACTGCAATACTGAAACATCCTGTGTCATCTATGAGATGTAGCATTAGGCCCACATCCTGTGAAACTCATGCACATTAGTTTGTTGTCATAATAGCATGCAGTATAAAAGACACCAAACAAATTGTGGAATATCACTAACATTTTGTGCCTCCATGTGCATCTTTCTTTGGATTCCAGGGACTTTTCCTCAAAAATCTGGGAGTATGACTGAGGTTAGTGACCTAGAGGATGATTTGACTGATTCTCAGAAAACTAGCAAGCTCTCTGAGGTGTATTCCACCACGATCCCTAGTGTGGATAGTGCTATGGAATCCTGGGATGGTTCGGGTATTGACACAGGCTATGGAAGCCAAGGTAAGTTGAACTTCCTGTTCCTTTGTGTGAGTATGTGTGTCAATACACACCCTTTATTGTAATTCATTTCTGATATTTGTATCCTACAACTATGTTATGGGTTTTTGAGGGTCTTTCAAAAAACAATGTGTCTGTTCAACTAGATTGACTATATCCCTGCTGTACTTACCATTGACACTATTATGAAGTCAGGTCACTCAAAACCTTAAAAGAAAGTTCATCAAAATACCAAACAAACATCAGTTCCCTGTATTTCCAACAGATGGTGAGCAATTGCCTCAGTAATGTTGGAAAAAAGTATATTAAGTTTATAGGGTTTATACAAGAGTGACAACTTGTGCTGGTCTCACACAAAATTCACGTGCAGCAGGGTACACTCTCTTCTATGGCCTTGGCCAATTGGATGTATTTCAATAAGTTGCTCAACAAAGGATAATATTTACTTTACAAATGTACAAGTAGTACATTCACTAGAATGCCTTCAAAGGTTACTCTTCTCTACCTGGCCCTCTCCAACTTCATTGCGCTACAATTCTCATAGTTTCCAGCTAGCGTGACAATGTCATGGTAGATGGGAATAATTGAGGATGGAGGAATGATGAAAACGAGAGATGTGTGTTATACATACAGTAGTGGCCAAAATTGTGGAAACCTTTTGGGAAAACTGTATTTTCTAAAAATTTTCTAAAATAACACCACTTTTTTTGGAGTAGTACCAGGGTGATGGTGGCGGGTGGTTCGGAGAACCAGTAGCAAAAATCCCTGCGTGTCCCCCCCCCCATGCCCAGCTGAGCCACGCGATCATCAGAGGCTGTTTTTTTTACTTTTAAAAGCATTTTTTCTACAACCTCTTCGGCTGAAAAAATGCTTTTAAGAGTGAAAAAAAAAAAGCCTCTGATAGGTCAGAAGCTTTTAAAAGCATTTTTTCTACAACCTCTTTGGCCGAAGAGGTTGTAGAAAAAAATGCTTTTAAAAGCCTCTGACGATCCCAGCTTAGTTGCCTGGTCATCAGAGGTTTTTAAAAGCATTTTTTTACAACCTCTTCGACTGAAGAGATTGTAGAAAAAATGCTTTTAAAAGTAAAAAAAAAAAAAGTTGGCCACGCCCACCCAATCACATTACCCCCCCCACCAAACCACACCCACAGAACCTGTAGTAACAAATTTTACATTTCACCACTGAGTAGTACCATAAAATTATATATCAATGGAAAGATAATTTAATCAAAAATGAAATGCACTAACTTTTATGAAGGATTTGCTATTAGAATAGCAGTTACAGTATAAAGAAGAAAAGTGAAACACATAGAAACAATTAGATACAAAAATTATCACCATAGAAAAAAAAGAGAGATGCAAAAATTATCACTATGGCAGTTAATACTTAGCTGGGTAACCTTTTGCATGGATTACGGCCTTACAACGTCTTCCCATGGAGTGAACCAGGTCTTTTAGTTCTGCAGCTGTTATAATTTGAAACCAAGATTGAATGATTGCTTCTATTAACTGGGTTTTATTGCTGAGTCGCTTCTGACTAACAAGTTTCTTTAGACGGCTCCATAGATTTTCAATTGGGTTAAGGTCTGGGCTAATCCCAGGCCATTCCAGCAGTGGAATATGATTATCTTGAAACTCCAAAAAAAGGTGATGTTATTAGCCATTAAACCTCAAAAATACAATTTTCCCAAAAGGTTTCCACAATTTTGGCCACTACTGTACCTAAACATATATTAATACTAGGCATGATGAATACACAATGCATTCTACAATTGGCCTGTTCTTTTTTTCCTCTTTTTTTAACAAGAAGATAAGAAATGTTCTCTTTCTCACTCTCTCTCTTTTTTTTTTTTCAATTTGACCAGGTCAGAATAATTTTAGGATATAGAATTCTTTGTTGACTATCGCAATTGGGGATGTAGTGATGAGGCATGCAAATCACAATATTAAATTAAATCTGGACCTTTTTATTATTCCATTCTATAAATTTCTCTTGTTTTCATGGATGCTATGATTCATTCTACAAAGATATACACTTTGTTTACGGATGTTTGCATATGGAATGAACAAATTGTTTTGGCAGTCACCCTATCCTAAGTATTGGGAATGCTGTGGATGGCATTCCTTCACTCATTTCAAGCCAGTTGCCAAAGAAAACTGATCAGGGTGATGTGGTTAGGACATGGGATATAATGATCCAAAACTGAAGGTTAGAAGTTCATTTCAAACCATAGAAACCCACTAGGCATTTCACTATCCTACTTCACAGGATTATTTTTCTGGAAATACTGTTGGAAAAGAAAATGAAGCAGTTTGCTGCCTTGAAATTCTGGTGGAAATGAGCAAAGGAGTGGCTGGAATAATTGCATAAAAGAGGAGGAAAGCTTTTGATTGCATAATTATGGTGACCACCTTGAGTTTTTAAAAATCTCGTCTCCACAAACCCCTCTGTCCACAAATTTCTAATATTAACTAACAGCCTTAAACATCTTTTTACGGGGGAAATTGGGTATCACGAGCAAATAAATGGACAACACATACACTAGAGGAAGAAAACACATGCTTCTGAATACTGCCCATCTCACATTGTAGCAGAATGAGGGGCCTGTTAGCCATCTCAGCTGAAAATGCCATTTTCTGCCTCATCGTCATTTTGCTTCCTTTTTGTATGTGTATTTCCTCTACTTTCCTTCCCTGCTTTTTCATTATCCTCTTGAGTCTCTGGTCTCTCATTCATCCAAATTCATGCATTTTTCTCCAGTTTTGCATTCCAATTCTGAGAAATTTTCCTTGAAACCTTTCTGGTAGTAATAAATCAATTCTTTAGCAATGATGAATCCTTAAATAAATCAGTTTGCTTAAATTTTGAAGAAATAGGAAATTGTCTAGTTGGCTAGCTAGTTATTTCTTCTTCTCCCACCACTTTCTGATCCTTTAGAACAGTGGTCCCCAACCCCCGGTCCGCGGACCGGTGCCGGGCCGTGGAGTACCTGGCACTGGGCCGCGCAGCGGCCGGGGGACATGAACGCTGCAGCGCAAAGGCTCCTGGGCCGTGCGCAAAAGCTCCTGGGCCGTGCGCAATGGGCCGTGCGCAAAAGCTCCTGGGCCGTGCCCCCACCCCTGCGCGCGCTCAGCGGGCCGCGGCGATAAAAAGGTTGGGGACCACTGCTTTAGAACAATCCTGGATGTTATCAAACTGAGAGATGGGCAGTATTTTAAAGTGGGCATGCTTCCTTCATTTATTGTCTTGACATTGGGTGATTATCATATGACCCCAGAAAAAGACACATCTTCTTTAAGGCAAATATGATGTAGACCCGTCCCTCCCCCCCAAGTCCCAATAAGTATGTCTAGTGGTGAAAGGATCAGATTCCCATCCTGTTATTAAGAGCTTTTAAGGTAATATAAGATTAACACATGTCAATAATAATAGTTGATACAGGAAATCTGTTGACTAGCAGAGCAGAATTTTTACAGTCAACTCATATCACTTTCCGATTATCTCTTTATTATTATTATTATTATTATTATTATTATTATTATTATTATTATTTACTTTATTCATTAAACATGAAACTCAGTCAACTGAAGATTCAAAAATACATCACAAATACCATTGACTGGTGCTAATGGTTGATACCGATTGCTGCCAGCATCTATCAACTGAGTACCTTCTTAAGATGTACAATGTTCCAAGTAGCGCAGTTTTTTGCAGTTCTGCTGGTGTTATTGCAGGAAGCATTATTATTATTATTATTATTATTATCATCATCATCATCATCATCATCATCACCATCATCATCATCTTCCTCTAGATGCTTTGCTAGAGAAAGTCCTGTGTGACTTGACTGGAACATTTCTTCATTTTCGCAGCTGTCCAGCATATTTAACATTTATTTAATAGACAAGAGGAGCTTTTTCTAGTGTTCAGGTCAATCCCACACTTCATTCCCAGTTTTGCTGACCAGAAGCAGTTCCATAAATGAAAACACACCAATGGATTTCTCATCCAGTATAATTTTCTCAGCAATAGCAATCAAATAATCTCCTTCCTCTTCTTATCATCTTTTCCCTCTTCCCCAATTCCAGTGGGTACTTACTTGCCTCAGGCTGTCGGCATTGCGCTTCATCCCCATGAATGGAGATCCAGCAGGCAGAAAAGCAGCACCCCTCCTGGAGACACCAGGAAGAGCTACCCTTTTACACACGGCGGTTTCAATGAGGAAGACTGGGAGAAGCCGAGCAGGTATGTCTGGCTCTTTTGGGGAAGGACAGGGGAGAAATGAATGCATATTGTTATCTATTGCAAGAATCAAACATTCAGACATGCTTGTTTTAAGTGTAATTGAAATGATTCATTTCAATGGAATAGGCTTTCAATGAGCCTCTTCTACTCCAAACTCTAATTCTCACTGTCAGCACAAATGATTATTAAAGCATTTGAAAGTAGTGGCTTTGCTGAGTTAAACGTTGATAGGAAACCTCAATAAAAAAATGTAATGTGTACATGGCAATTGTGTAGATGGATGAAGCATCCCTGTCTTAAACAAACATTCATATTTATGCTTTGCAATGCCCATGCATTTCAGGCTGCAGAGTTTTCAAAATGCATGAATTAAGTGAGAAGGAATTAACAATTTAGAATCCAGTAGTTCTCATGAAATAATGGAAATTTGCTTCCAAGGGAATGACTGCATTCTACTTTCAATATATTTGAAAGTATGCCCTTGAAGACATATGCTATTAGGGGCACCGACAGATTTTTATTAATACAGTTGCACACCAACTGGATTGGCTTTTTTTCAAATGTACAATGCTGCGCAAAGACATTTCCCCCACAAAGGTGATGTCTAATTATCCTTGTGGGTAAAAAAGGTCAACAATTACTGTAAGAAGATGAATAATATCTCCCAATAGGGCCACTATTGTTCATGCCAATCAGAATTTCATCACATTCTTACATTCATGGATTTCTATCAGTATGAATGTTTCTACCGCCACAAGATGATTATCAGCAGTCCAGTGAATTTATCTTTAAAGTGTTTGGATCTACTTCTAGTTCTCTGAAAATGGAATACATTATACAGAACTAAGCTTGTGTTTGTGTTTTGTAAACACAATGGAGATTGCAAGTAGAACAACAACAGAAGCATCCTCAGAATCCATTAGTTTTGGCAAAATGATGAAAGCAGCATTTTATCATGATGATGCAAGCTTCCCCCCACCCCTTATGTGTATGCAATATAATAATGCATGTCCAAAAGAGACAAATGCTGCTTTTGTCATTTTCCTCCCTCTTTCTTCACTCCAGTTTCTGTGGAATAAAATGCACTTGATGTTCTGAAGTCAACATTTAGCCTCCTTTCAATGTTCCAGTTTCCATTCTGGCGAATTGCTTGGAAGATGATAGTCTTGTTATTCAGTGTTCTACATCTGATCTTGGAGCATCAAGATTTTAATGGCCAGCTGCAAGGGTGTCTGCCAGGTATGGTTGAAAAAGTCAAGATGGCAGCCACAACAATGGGATTAAAGCTCCACCTGGTTTTTTTTTTTTTTTTGATGTAAGTGTTATACTGAAAAAAAGGGTGGTGCATTGCTCACATTATCATGGCCTCCATCTTAGCTTTTCTAACCACATCTTGTGATGTCCTTGGCCCAATGTGAAAATTATTCAGATTGCATGGTTATATGTCTAAAATTATCTATTGATTTTCTGCTTGTTTATTTGTGTAAGAAAAATGTAATACACTTAGAACCACACGTGCAAAGCAATGTCCCCGTACTGAAAGCTAATTTCCAGTCATCCTTGTTGATTGAAGTGTTCCCTATTTACAACAGCAGAGACAGTTCTAGAATTGAGTTTAAACTGTTACTCGGTTTTATTTTTGTCCAGTTTTCTTGGTTCAATTGCTTGAAGCTGCCAAGGAGACAGAATTGGTTTTGTTTGATATCTCAGGGATACTCTATTTAAGAATGGTCTTCAGCCAAAGGGCCTCAAATTGTTTGGATCACAAATCTTTGAGGTGGAATTCTGAAATGCCAACATGGTGGATGGACATGAAGACAAAGGCAGTCTGAGATAAAAGAACTCCATAACGAAGGATTGGAGGGTGGTGGGAGAAAGAGATTGAAATGAGCCGTTAGAAGAACAACAAAAAGCAATGGCATAATATTTTTTTAAAAAAAGGTCTCAGTTCAACATTCTGTCTATTTCTGTCACAGTTTTTTGTAGTGTGAAACCATTAAAACAATAATCATTCCCTTGGCATGGATTTCCAAAACCATTTCATGACTTTAGTTCATTTGTAATTCCTGTTTTCCCTTTCAAAACGAAGAAGTGACACTTCAATCTGACGTGGGGCTTCTTGGAGGAAGAATGCCAGGGCTTGCTATCTGGTTCTCTGACTTAGAAAACTGACTAAAGCAAAGATTGTTGTTTTTGTGAATCAAAAATCCTTGCTTTTCCTGGCACTGAAGTCCAGTTCATCTCATGTTAGGGTTGCAGAAAAGATTCTGCTTTCTTTGGCACAATTCCCCCTAAATGTAAGGCCTTCTTCTTCTTCTTCTTCTTCTTTCTTTCTACTTCAGAGGAAATGTCGGCCCCTTATCTCTTAGAAAGAAGAGAGTAAAACATAAAACGTTACAATACAATTTGGTGACAGCTAGAACTTCTTTCTTTCACAAAGAAAGGACTCTGCCACTTAATTTTCAAGCCCTCAAGATTTAAATCTAGTCCTGTTTTTTGCCGTTCCACCTGTAAATTTTGGTATATTGTAGTGTAACTGAATCTGAGGAGAATTCCTGTAGCTCTTTTATATATTGGGAGGGGCTTTATCCCCAGCAGAACAGAGTATCTTAAGACACTTCTTAGCCTAATCATGGGGCTGTTTCCCCGTGATAGTTCTTAGCCCTTCTTGGTTATTCTATACCCTAATATCCTAGTTGGGTTGGTTAGTTAGTTAGTTAGTTAGTTAGTTAGTTAGTTAGTTAGTTAGTATTTATTTATTTATTTATTTATTTATTTATTTATTTATTTATTTATTTGCCATGTTTCCCCGAAAATAAGACCCTGTCTTATATTTTTTTGAACCCTGAAATAAGCACTTGGCCTTATTGCCATGCACTCAAAAGCCCAATTGGGCTTATTATCAGGGGATGTCTTATTTTGGGGAAAACAGGGTATTTGTTTGTTAGTTTGTTTGTTTGTTTGTTTGTTTGTTTGTTTGTTTAGCCACCTCCAACCTGGTGCCGACTGGTTTTGTTAACTACAACTCCCAGAATTCCCCAATCAGCCATTGAACATGATGGCTAGGAGTTCTGGGAGCTTCAGCCCAAACACCTGTGAGAATGTACATGGAAAAGTTACATCAGATGATTGGACTAGTGGTTGCCGATTTACCCATTTTTTTTTTTTAAGAGGGATGGATAACAATAAGCACAACTCTTTCTGCGCTACCAGAATATACTTCTCACCATAGTTTTGAGTTGTAAACTGTTGGAAATAAAAATATTGAACAATGAACGTAAGAACTGAAACCTATGTGGTTTTTACATACAGGCCCTGCTCAGCCTTCTGTATGAAACCATGCTAATTACAGGTAGTCCTTGACTTACAACAGTTCACTTAGTGACATTTGAAGTTTCAATGGCATTGAAAAAAAGCTTTTCACATTTATGACCATTGCACCATCCCCATGGTCACGTGATCAAAAGTCAAACATTTGGCAATTGGCTCATATTTATGACGGTTGCAGTGTCCCGGGGTCATGTGATCCTTTTTGGCAATCTTCTGAAAAGCAAAGTCAATGGGGAAACCAGATTCACTTAATAACAATTGTAAATGTAAACAATCCTGTTACTACCTAAATAACTTCAGTGATTCAGTGTGGCAAAAAAAGATCATGGGGCAAGGTTCACTTAACAACTGTCTCACTTAGCAACAAAAATTTTGGGTTCAACTGTGGACATAAATTGAGGACTACCTGTATTTAATTGCTTGCCTAATCTAGAGAAAATCATTTTTATATACATCTTTTTTACATGATATGCTCCCCTAGAGACCTGATGTATTTACCATTTTCTCACCATGTCCGTTACCCTCTGTGTTTTTCTCTCTCTTCTCAGGTGTTCTGTGTCTCAGATCTGAATTCTGTCCCATCCGCCTTTGTACTAACAGTCTCTGAGGCTCCTGGTTTACCCATCATGCATCTTTTTTTTTCCTTTAATTCTCTATTTCACCAAAAAAAAAAAACACCACACGTCTTCCTAAACCTACAATCTTCCTACAGGCACTTCTTAACTTTCCCTCTTGAACTTGACATTGCTACTCCAGTTTAATTCTTCCTTTTGAAGGACTTTTGCCCCGTTAGTGAAAGTGCATGGAGGTTCTGTATTTGGACTCTTTCTTGCCTGAAAAATTCATGTTGTTTGCTTTTGTATATGAAGACTCTGCCAAGTCTCTGCTTTTACTGGCGAGCCACTTGCTGTAGCCTTGAAGCTTCCATCCTGCTCCAGAAGAGTGCTGACAATCTTTGGTTCCTACGTTACAACAGATATCCCACCTGCCAAAATGGCCTTGAGATGCCACATGAGGATAATTTTTGGCGCGTTTTTGGAGAAGCTTTGGAGGACTTGGAAACGTGCGGCCAATCGGAACTTTTGAGGGAGATTGAGGTAATGAATCTTCAAAAGCGGGCATGCCTAGCACTGCTATGCCTGCTGTGTTTTTCCCCTTTGTGCTTGTGAGCGTGTCTCAACCTGTGGTGTAGAGAGCAGAGAGCAAAGGCAGGGCCAACAATTTGTACTACCTTTACAGGTACAGTAGTCCTCGATTTACAACAGTTCATGTAAGGCCCATTCAAAATTACAGCACTAGAAAAAAAAGCGACTTTCACTTACGGCCATTGCAGCATACCCATGGTCATGTGCAGTGGTGGGATTCAAGTAATTTAACAACCAGTTCTCTGCCCCAATTATTTCTTCCAACAACCAGTTTGCCAAAATGCTCAGAAAGTTAACAACTGGTTCTCCCGAAGTGGTGCGAACTGGCTGAATCCCACCACTGGTCATGTGATCAGATGCTTAGCAATTGACTCAGATTTATGATGGTTGCAGTATCCTGGGGTTGTGTGATCACCTTCTGTGACCTTCTGATAAGCAAGCTCAGTGGGGAAGCCCAATTCACTTAACAACCATGCTACTAACTTAACAACCGCAGTGATTGACTTGACAACTATTGCAAGCAAGGTTGAAAAATGGAGTTAAATTCACTTAACGAC